TTTCCACATCAGCCTCTTGTCTGGGAGCTCCTAAAAGTGGCTCACCAAATAATCGTTATTGGGTTCTGGGTTGCTCACCTTTTGTCTGGGAGTTCGATTCCAGGTTCTTCTCATCTCAAACAAAGAATTTCATGAAATGAGCAAAATGCATTAGTGAAGTTTATTTGAAAAAGTAAAAAATGAAGAGTGAGGGAGAAACTGGCTCTGCAGGGTGAGTTTGGTAAAAAGGAAAAAGCAAGACAAAAAGATACCATGGAAGATGCAGATCAGACTGTCATGAGGAAAGCCACCAATAGTAAGTTTTTCCTGGCATTGGTGTGTAGAAGTGAGAACTTCTACATACAGGTCTTGAAAGGAGGTGCTGGGAACCCAGTCTCTGACTTCGAGCCTAGACCATCTTATTGAAAACCTGCTGGGGTTTTCACCAGAAGTCCATGTGCCAGGCTTTGGGAACCGTTCTGCACATGTGTCTGTGATCTTGTAGTTAACAGGTCAGCCTACTTCCCCAGCCAGCATTGTCACACCCTAATCTATGTCAGGCCTGCCAGGCCTCAATGGAACCTGAGCTCACGGGGCCTGGGTCTCACCCAGACTGCTGAATGTGGCCTCAGGAGACTTGTAACCTCGTAGTACGGGCAGGGGGCAAAGGACTTGGATGGGATGGGGTCTGGGTAGGGGCCATACCTGGTGGCCTCTAGAGACACCATGCCTTCTCATGTAGCAAGGCTCCCTGCTCCAACTGTGCATTCCTCACACCCCGATTCTAGAGAAAATTGGTTATCTTGAGGCCACAGAGTCTGTCAGACACTGTCAGATGCTAGGCCAGGCCCCTCACACAGGCCCCTGAATCCCCTGGTCTGTGATCAAAGCCACCTGCCTTTTTCCGGATTTAATCAGCTCTGTGCTCAGAGCCTTGGGCCATTTGCAGAGCCTGGATCTCCCCATTCCTACTCCTGAGTGTGAGACTTAAGGCCAAGCTGAGGGGGTGCCAGGGAGCCTGCAGATTGGGGACTGCCTTCCATGCCACCTCTAGTTCAGTTGATGACACACAGAGCCTTGGCTGTGGCCTCTGCTCAAAATGCTCAAAATGCCTCTTTTCTTTTCCCTCCATCCCTCCACCTCTGCCTCCCTTCGCATTATCAGTCTACGGGGAGATTTAAGCCAGTCTTTGCACTGAGCTACATCACTAGTTTTTTTTTACTTTGAGACACAATCTCACTAAGTTGTCCAGGCTATGCTCGAACTTTCAGTCCTCTTCCTCAGCTTCCCAGAGTGCTGGGATTACAGGCAAGGCCACCACACAACAGGACACCTCTTTCCTACACGATACTTTCTCTGTTGTCTCAGACACTTACCTAGAACCACCAGGGACAAACCTGCTTTCAGAGCCAAACCTCTGCGCTGTGCTGCAGGTTCAGCCCTCTCTATTCTCTCCCCAGACCTCCTGTGCCCTGCTTTTAGCCTTAGAGTTTTAGCCGTGGCCCTGGCATCTGCAGTATCGTAGGGTCCAGAGGACTCTCCATGACGCCTGCCATGCTCTTCGGCCGTAGTTAGGACTTACTTTGTGCTTGGAATGTGCTCCTGATTGAATGCATGACCTCCCAGACACTGAGGACTTCCTGTGCTTCTGGAAGACACAGCAGCTCTGGGAGGTAAATACCTCAACCCACCACCCCGGTGTCCCTGAGAAGGTCACCTTTGACCCTCGAACAGGCCGACTCCCAAGCCCTGTTCCTTTCTCTTCCCCCACCTTCTCCAAGTATCAGCGTTGATCTTTCTGGGAAGGCTCCAGGTCCTGGCCCAGTTATGGGGACAGCAGGCCTTTGAGGCTCTTTAACTATCTAATAATGATGAGAATTGGGAACATCCTCCCCTCTGTGACCCCCAGAACATCCTCATAGCCTGTAAATCCTGAAATCTGGAGCTGCAGGCACCTCCCTCTATTCAGAGTTGATCCCATCCTCCCCAAAACCCCTGCAGGATGGGCTGTGTTGCAGGCAGCCCCGGAAGGGCCTGGGTCTCCAGCATCCTGTCCTGGTCCCTGTGAGGCCCCATTGTCCTGGCTGGGCTCCCTGGCCTTGCCCTCCTTGCCTGGCAGCCCTTATGGACTGGGGGCAGAGGTCCTGGGGAGTGAGCGCTATTTGTAGGTCTTCTGAAAATATCACAGCAGCACCATTCACAGAGAGGCTGCCGGCCTGAGAGGCATGGGTGCAACAAAGCTCCACTGTGTGACAGGCGTGCTGGCCTCTGTCACAGGGTGTCCCCCTGCCCACTGCCAGAGTGCTGGTGCCGCCACCACATGCAGGCCCCACATGTCTCCTAAATGCACTGTGGCCCCCATGCTGGCTCACATGTGTCGCAGCTGCTAGTGACTACATGAGTATGGGATTCTGTGCCCCTGTCTTGCTGTCCTTGCTGGCCCCTGTCCCTCACCTCCCACCCAGTCACAGCTCAGGGTGGCCAGGGACCCAGGGTAGCATTTCACACCTAGCTCGACAAGGTTGACAGCATTGTCACAGCGCTGGCCTTGTGGGCATGGTCCGGCTCACTGAGGCTGGAGCAGGAGGAGACTGCATTGTGTGCAGGGTTGAGCCGGTGACAGTTGTCTTTGGGGTCACTCTTTGTCCCCAGGTTTAACTTTCTGAGTCCCAAAGTCCCCTGGGTCTCTTCCTGCTGTGAGCAAGGTCAGCACTCCCTGTCCCTTGATCACCTGATCCACTGGGTCACTGTACAGGGGTCGTGACTGAGTCCTTAACAACCTCTGCACACACCCAAGCTACCCGCAGAGTCGGCTGAACTGACTTTGCTTGGCCCCCTCTATGTCTGACTCTGGACAGCTCAGGCTGCCAGATGCCTGGGTTCTTGCTAAGCGAGCTGATGGCTATGATGTTCACACTCCAGAGGACCAGCCCTGGAGGCTGGCAGCTCTTCTAGCTCTGGAAGTCTCAATCTTCATGTGAGGATGCCAGCACAGGGAAGGGATTTGAGGACAGGTCATTCTGTTCCCAGGCTGGGTTTGAGAGGTCCTGAAGCTGAAATATGGAAGCTAACCCACCACCCTTTGGTAAAATAAATTTGCAGATTTCACTGACTCCATCGCAGGAAAAGAATTTCAGGATGTGTCAGTAAGAGGTGCAGGAAAGGCTTATTAGATTTGGGAAGCAGTCAAGGGTGTGGTGTGGATGCTCAGTGAAATGAGGGGCATTAGTTCCTGGAATGGGGATGTTTACACATTGTAGAAAGGCCAGGAGAAGGCAGCCCTCCCCTCAGAAGGGTGCTAGCCCCATTCTGCAAGAATGGGCAGTGTGTGTGTGTGTGTGTGTGTGTGTTGATTAGGTAATTTAAGCATTCTTTGGATTCTCTCAACCTCATCTTTATCTGAGGATTAGGCGCCTGCTCTTTACTTTCCAGTGAAACCAAATGATAGTCTTGTAGTTTCCCTGAGGTATTTGGGGTGTGCTGGGCCTGGTCGGGAAGGAGCCTAAATGTAAACAAAGGAGGCTGATCTGCCTCACCTTGGGTGGCTTTGGCCTCTTTTTAAAAGTACAACTTTTTTTTTGTACCAAGATCATCAAACTCGGGACCTTGTGCTTGCAAAGCAGACAGTGGAACCACTGAGCTAAATCCCTGGCCCAAAAGTACAATTTTTAATTAGGATTTTCTTGACTCCAGACTTTCTTCTATCTGACCTCAATTCCAGGGAATTTCCCCAAGGTCAACACCAGGATCAGCACTGAGCCCCACCTTGCATGCCACGTGAGCCCTATAGCCAGCTGGGGTACAGCACTGGACTGAAGGATGCCCACAGGCTCAGCTCTGGTCCTCTTGCTGGGCGACCTGGGGCAGTTTCCTTGTATAGAAAATGGGACCACAAGATCCCCCCAGGGTTTTCTTTAGGTTTCAGTGTGAGACCCTCAGGTCCTGTGACTGTAGGGGATGTTATTCATTGAAGCTATAACATGAATGGCTCCCCCTAGACAGTGCCATTTTCATGTAGACTGCAATGTGAGTGGCTGCTTCCTGGAGTTGTGCTAAAGAGTGGTACTGGTTATCAGTGGACATACTACACTTGCAGGAGGCAGCTGGTAAGAACAGTTGCTGCTTGTGCTTGTTTGTAGTGCTGGGGATTAACCCAGGGCCTCATGCATGCTGGGCAAGTGCTCTACCACTGAGTGATATCTATCCCTAACCTTTTTTTTTTACTTTTTATTTTTCTTTAAATTTTTGAGACAGAATCTTGCTAAGTTTCCCAGCTAATGTAGAAATTATAGCCTTCCTGCCTCAGCCTCTGGAGTAGCTGGGGATTATAGGCTTGGTCCTCTATACCTAGCTTTTATTGTTTTTTAAAAACCTGAACAACTTGGGTGAAAGAAAAAGTGCAGAGAGTGCATCAGCTGCAGCCCTATGCTCCCCACATCTCAGGGACGCTCTTACACCTGGCTGATCTTAGCAGAACCAGTTTCAAGTACCAGTGACAGATGCGTGGTGGCCCTGTCATGTGAGGAGTGTCTCCTGCTCCCATTAGAGTTTCTGAGGGTCAGCAAAAGTCCTCTTTGCAGAGCTTGGGGTCCCCCCAGCACCCCTTCCAGGCAGCCTCCTGCCCACCCCTCCACCTGGGGCTGGTGGAGCAGCCACTCTGGCCTGGAGGAGGCAGAAATTCTTCACCTGGAATTCTGCCCTCCTGCTCGGAGGTCTTCCGGAGGGATCCCAGAGGGAGTGTGGGCGGTTCCAGGTAGTTTTGTGATGCAGAAAGGGGAGGGGCAGACGGCTGGGCTCTGGCCATTTCCATAATAAAGTATCTCCCTGAGGAGACAGTACCTCTAGCCTCCCGTTCCTTCCGCAGCTCCTGGGCCCTGCAGGCTTTTGGGGTGGCTTCCTGACCTTTACTTGATGCCCTTGATGCTGAGTGCCCAGGCCACCCCAGAGTCACATTTGTGTCTCTAGTTCTCTCAGGGTCAGAGAATGTCTTGGGGAAGTGGCTCCTCAGACTGTCTCATGAGGGGCAGTATCCACCACCTGGGGACAAAGCCAACGCCTCAGGTTTCAGATGCTGGCTTCCGAGAATCCACAGTCTGGAAAAGAAAGGCATGGGTAGGGTTGGGTCTGACCTTTCCAGCCCCTGGGGGAGTTCTCATGGTTGAGAGTCACTGGGGTGGGGGATACCACCAGCATCTAAAAACAGCTTTGCTTACAATTACCGTGGTTTGGTTTATTTCGTTTAAAATGTACAGTTTCTGGGGGCTTGGGCCTGCTTGGCCCCACCCCACCCCATAGGCCTAGATCCTTGCTGTGGGTCCTCCTGCACCACACTTGAGCCTTAACCCCAGTAGGACCAAATCCTGGACACTGATGGGGACATCCTGGCCACCTCTGGGTCCCCACACTGTGGTCAGATGCAGGACCCCTAGTGGCTCGGGGCTTTTCTGGTTCTTGGAGTTCACCCTGTCCCTATCCATGGACCATGAATGAGGCTGTGTGAGAAAAGGGAGCCAGCTCCCTGTCCCTGGGATCAGTTCCAGGACCTTCAAGCCTTCCTTTCCTGTCTGAGCTCACCCCTGCCTGCCCCTGCTCCCTGTCCCCAGTCCCTGTCCCCTAAGTATAAGCTCCAGAAGGGGCTCTGCCCAGTGCCAGAGCCAGGCACAGTGCCTAGCACACAGTGGGGTCTCAGGAAGCAATTCTTCTTTGAAGAATTCACTTTCCTCCTTGGCTAGTGAGGCGTGGCTGGCCCAGTGCTCCTGACCTGACATCACCTTCCACCTGCCACTTCCTGCCAGTCATCCCCCTGGAAGGAAGAGTTGAAGCCCAGGACCTCCTCTGGCCAGGGGATGCTAGGAGCATCCTATACCCTCTTCATCCCCAGGACTGCACAGCTAATCCAGAACAGAGTCCCTATACCTCAAAGCAGTAGCCAGCTTGGTGTCCAGCACCCATGGGGGGGCTCTCCCTTCTTCACTACTCCTGGGATAGCTTCATGTGCACCAACCTTGGTCTCGGGCTCTGAGTTTGGGGGACCCAGGCTGAGACAGGTGGTAAGGGGGTTCCTGGGAATGGTTCCAGTAGTGACCCAGATGGACAGGCTCAGGTTATTTGTGGTCCCAGCTGTGTACAAGGCTCCTCCTGTTCACCCAGAGCAAAGCACTCCGGTTTAGGAGAGGTGCCAGGGTTCCCTCAGACCCCAGAAGCTTAAAGGGACCCAGGAGGATATGCACTGGGCATGCTCCAAGGAGGTGGTCTGGATGCCGATTTTGGCTCCAAACCCTACTTCTCCCGGGCCTGAGGAACTTACCCTCCCTCTCCCTGTTTGTGAGCTCACAGTGCAGTGATAATACCAGATGTGATTCAAATGTGGCGTTTACTTCTTAAAAATGTCTTACACTAACAGATACTGCCATGAATTTCCTTCAGAATTCTCCCCCTTACTTCCAACACACTGATCCCGTCATTCTTGCCCCTTTCTGAAGCAGCACTGGAAGTTCTCTTTCATGAGCTTCACTAGTCACTAGGTCGTGGCTGCCTTGATGTCCTGAATCCATTCAAAACTTACCTTTTGTGGTCATTTTGATTTTTGGGAAAAGCCGAAAGTCACACGGTGCCAGACCCCATGAATAAGATAGATGAGATCACAGCATCATATTTTTATTTGACCAAAATTACCATTGTTCGATCAATGAGAGTTGATCATAAAATATAGTGAATCCTTACATAAAAATTATATTACGGTAAAAAGACACATTGCCATAGATCTCCCTCAAAATCTTCCTCTTACTTTGAACACACACATCCCATCGTTCATGGCAATGTGTCTTTTACTGTAATAAATTGCTTTTTTGTTGTTGTTGTTGTTGTTGTTTTGAGACAGGGTCTCACTATGTGGTGGAGACTGACCTGGAACTCAGTATGTAGCCCAGGCTGGTCTCAAACTCACAACGATCCTCCTTCCTCAGCCTCCCAAGTGCTGGAATTACAGGCCTGCGCCACCACACCCGGCTAATAAATTGTTTTTTAATTGAAACATTCACCGTGTCTTTTGAGGGCCCCTTGTTATGTGTCCTTCAGAGTTGCTGAGCATTGGTGCTGGCCAGGCAGTGGTGTGTGCCGCAGGACAGCAGTAGACAGGGTCCCCGTTGATCTCTCTGACGCTGACATGTGTTTGCGTCCCCAGCACATGGTATGGTGTGGCACACGCGCTCTCTAGTAAACCCTTGAGGGAGGGAAAGTGGGAAAAGGAAGAGCTAAAGTGCAGGCATTTGAGCTGCGGCCTTGAAGAAGGAGTGGGAGCTGACCTGGGCAGGAGTGAGAGGCTTCTGTTTGGATGACAAGGAGGGCGGAAGTGAATAGCCTATTCCCAGAAGAGGCAGGTGGAGGGCTGCAGGATCCCTGAGGCAGGAGTAGCTGGAGGGGCCCTGGAGGACTTGTGTTGAAGATCAGAGGCTGGGAGGATCATGGGAACAATAAAGCTTCTGGTTGGGGGGCCTTACCTAGCCTCGGCATTCCCCAGCCTGCCCCATGCTCCTGTCACTTCTGCAATTGTCGCTGGAGTAAATATCCCCATCCATTGCTCCCACACACACATTTCCTGAAGCTTAGCAGGCCTGGGCCCTCAGAGGAAGATTCCCCTGTAGCATCAGTTTAAGAAATGAAACTGCTTCAAAGATGGCCGAGAAAAGGGAACTGGGATTGAAAACTTCAGGGACATTCAGGGCATTTTTCTAAATAGAAAATCCTCCAAGCCCAGGCCACCACCAGTTCCTGCTCTATTATGATGTGACAACCGGCCCTTCACAATGGTTTGGTTTCCCACAAGCCCGTGTGCTGACCCTTACTACATCACACAGTCCCACACCTCCTGAGTTTGGGGTGCAGCTATGTAATTGATTTATCCAGAACCATCAGCCCTCAGTATTCACAAGCTCTACACCTGTGGATTCACCCTGTAAGATCCTCCCAGGGAGGAATCCCACCACTCTAAGTCCGGGACACCACGATGCACCATAAACACCCTGGAGAGACGATTCTTGATGCAAAACACAAGAGGTCTTTATTCCAGCATGCTGGGGCTCAGCTCATAACCCTCACAGGGGCAGAGGAGTTGAGCCCCGAAGCAGGGTAGAGACACAGTTTTTAAAGGAAAAAACCCCACAAGCTGTAGGGTAGGGGGAATTCCAAGAAAGGGGTCAATTACGGGAACATTCAGTTACAAAGGGTGGGGACTTCGGGGAAGTGGGGCCATGGATTGTTCAAAGGGGTAGGGTCTGTTCTGCACCAGACGTTTATCTTGGTTCCTGCCTCTCAGGAATGTTTAAGGCGACCTTTTAACCTGTCATGGTTAGCTGACTCTGCTAGGGGTTGGGCTCTTAGAGCTTCTTAATACTTTTCCTAACAATCCTCCCTTTTTCTTTTTGCACATGTTCTAATCTTAGAACCCTTAATGTCTAGTTTCTTCATGTCCCATACCTAAGGCTTGGGTTCTTAGAGGCTGGTATTGTTGTCTTAACATTAGTACTTGTACTGCACTGACTCTTTCTCTGATGAAGGCAACTAATCTATTCAGAACACAGGGTCCCACGGTTAGAAGTAATAAAAGGATAATAAGGGGTCCCAATAAGGTGGACACCAAAGTGGTGATCCAAGGGGATTTGGGGAACTACTCAGAAGGGGGTGCATTAGGGTCAAGAGTCCGTACAACCTTAAACTTGAAGGGGTTAGAAGTCTTTTCCAGTCTCTATTCTGGGGCCAGTGGGGGGGCCGGTTTGAAGTGGGAAGTATGGATCCAAGCTGATATTCCGTCGACTTTGACGGCGGTGGGAGTGGTCAGCAATACCGGGAAAGGTCCCTTCCAACGAGGCTCTAGGTTGCCTGCCCGATGACGGCGGACGTAGACGGAGTCCCCGACTTGAAATTGATGAGGAACTTGGAGGTCTCCTGGAGCATAAGCTTCTCTCAGGTGTTGCCACACTTCGCGTTGGACAGTTTCAAGGGCTTTTAATCTACCATAAAGAGGTTTAGAAGAGACAACATTTGGATCTGTCAAGTTACCAACGCCTATTAAAGAAGGAGGGGCTCCATAAAGCAATTCAAAAGGGGTTAAACCAAATTTTCCCCGAGTATTCTGTACTCAGAACAAAGCAAGGGGTAGGAGGACCGTCCAGTCTATAATGCCAGTCTCTAAGGACAATTTGGTCAAGGTCTCTTTTAATGATCTATTCATCCTCTCTACTTGACCTGAACTTTGGGGTCTATAAGCACAGTGCAATTTCTAATTAAACCCCAGGACCTTGGCTAGTCCCTGACTTACCTGGGCAACAAATGCTGGCCCATTGTGTGAACCGATCACCTTAGGGATGCCAAACCTTGGGAAGATCTCTTAGAGTATCTTCTTTGTCACAATAGTAGCAGTTTCTGTTTTCGTGGGGTAGGCCTCTACCCATCCTGAAAAAGTATCTATGAAAACTAGAAGGTATTTATTATTATATTTAGCAGGCTTTATTTCAGTGAAGTCGACTTCCCAATAGCTGCCAGGCCTGTCCCCTTGCAACCTTTTTCCTGGGGGATGCTTAGGAGGATAGGCATTTACCAGCTGGCAGGGTATACATTGATGGATGGTTTCATCAGCTAGCTCAGATATATAATATGGGGAAGTCTGAACTATCTTCTTTAGATGTTTGGCCCCTAAGTGAGTGAGCCCATGTAGTTGTTGAAGATAAGTTTTGGCCTCTTCCCTTGGTAGGATGGTCTTTCCATTGGGCAGGACATAAGTCCCGTCTGGCTGAGGTTCTGAGAGTCCTAAGTCATTTATCCCCTGTAAGTCTTTCTCAGAATAGGCGAACTTGGTAGTGGCAGTCCCTAGGTCTTCCTGTAGAGGGAGGATATTAATGCCTTGAGCGGCTCTTTTTGCCTCTATATCTGCCTGTTGGTTTCCGATGGCAACAGGATTGGTTTCTCTTTGGTGTCCCGGGCAATGGATAATTGCCACTTTTCTTGGCAAATGTATGGCTTCTAAGAGGTCCAGTATTTCCTTTTTATTTTTTATTTCTTTTCCAGCCGAAGTTAAGAGTCCCCTTTGTTTATATATGGCTCCATGTATATGCGCCGTGTCAAATGCATATCGGCTGTCAGTATAGATGTTGATATCTCTCTTTTCTGACAATTGGAGGGCCTGGGTAAGGGCGATTAGTTCTGCCCTTTGGGCTGAAGTCCCTTCAGGTAAACTACTGGCCCAGATCGCTGAAATGCCATCTACCGTTGCCACTCCCACTACCCGCTTACCTTCCACGATGCAGCTGCTTCCATCAGTGAACCATGTGAGAGCTCCAGGTCAGGGTTGGTCAGTCAAGTCTTTTCTGGACCCAGCCTCTTCAGCCAAAATCTCATGGCATTGATGTATCACCTGTTCCTTGGTGACATCAGGCAATGGGATTGAGAATAGCTGGAGGAGCAAACTGGATTCTTTCATTCTTTCAACAGAGTCTGATAATGAACTATCCGGGCATTGGACAGCCATCTGTCTGGAGGCTGTCGGATAATGCTCTCTAAGGCATGGGGAGCTATGACAGTTAATTGTTGTCCCATAGTTAGTTTATCAGCATCTTTCACCAAGGTGGCAATGGCAGCTATTGATTTTAAGCAGACAGGCCGCCCCTGTGCTACTGGGTCCAGTTTCTTTGACAGGTAGGCCACTGGCCTTTTCCAAGGTCCCAAAGTTTGGGTTAACACTCCTTTTGCAATTCCCCTTTTCTCATCGACAAACAGGAGCTTAGTTAGCAGGCAGACTGAGAGCTGGAGCAGACAACAAGGCCTGCTTGATGTTGTCAAAGGATTCTTGTTGTTGGGGTCCCCAAGTAAAGGGGGCGCCTTCCTTAGTCAGAGGGTAAAGGGGGGCTGCTAAATTGGCGAAACCAGGAATCCATAACGGACAGAACCCGGCAGTACCCAAAAATTCTCTGACTTCCCGCGGAGTTTTTGGGACGGGAATCTGGGTCACAGTTCTCTTTCTGGCCTCTGTCAGCCTGCGTTGTCCATTTCTTAAATTATATCCCAGGTAGGTTAACTCTCTTTTACAGAGCTGTGCTTTCTTTGCTGAGGCTCGGTATCCTAGACGCGCCAATTCAGTCAGCAAGTTTTCAGTTCCCAATAGACTTCTTCTGTGGCTCCAGCCAGGAGCAGATCATCTACATATTGGAGGAGAGTTACCTGGGGGTTGTCAGCGCGTAAAGGTGCAAGATCTCGGTGCAAGGCCTCATCAAATAGAGTAGGCGAATTTTTGAATCCTTGGGGTAACCGTGTCCAGGTCAATTGTCCCGCTTGACCATTCTCTGGGTCCCTCCACTCAAAGGCGAAAACAGGTTGACTGGCAGGATGTAATCTTAGGCAGAAGAAAGCATCTTTAAGGTCTAAAACAGTGTACCAGATTCGGTCAGGGGGGAGAGAACTTAATAGGTTATAAGGATTAGGCACGGTGGGGTGAATGTCTTGCACTCGCTTATTAACTTCCCTAAGATCTTGTACAGGG